ATAATATATAAAAATTGAATTCCACACCTAATTGATTGATATTTGTCCATTTCAATTGGTGACATGTATTCAATTCCATCCCATGTGGCAAATTGATTGGTGAAAATAAATCATCAAAAAACATGTCACCATTTTCCAAAATTAAAATGATATTAATTATTTTATTGGGGCTCTTTGAGGAAACCCCCTCATTACTTTTTTTAATGTAGAGATGTCCAAAATATTTCAGTCCATTTGAGAAAAGCCCACACCGATTTTGAGCCATTACGTTTTCCAGCTTTGCCCCCGCCCGCCACATCATGGTCACGCACTCAGCGATTTTTTTTTTTTCTGTTTTTTTTTCCGTCTTTTCTGTATCAGTTTCCTTAATCGACTATGAAGCATAGTCGATTAGCCTTAATCGACTATGCTTCATAGTCGATTAAGGAAATTCTTTAATTTAAAAAAAAAATTAATTTTTTTTTCTATATGAGGTATATTAATCGCCTATGATGAAGCATAGTCGATTAAAAATATGCTACTAAACATAACAAATTACAACTGCGAAAAAATGCAAAAACAACTATATTTTACAAAACATAAAAAATATTCAAACATTATAAATGATTTATACAATTGAAATCAATAAACAAGAAATCCAAAAAAAATAAAAAAAACTGGAGTCGATCAACCTTAATCGACTACCAGAACATAGCCGATTAGCTTAATCGACTATGAACATGTACATAGTCGATTAAGATTTCAACATGCACCGTCATCCGTCTGATCCACAAAAAAACCCAAAATCAGCCTCCCCATCGTCCCCACACCACTCAGAGCTCCTGTCATGGCCGAACCCGTCAGATTTTGAGCATGTTCAGCTCCACCGATTAAGAAAACTAATTTAATTTAATCTCAATCCTAATTTAATTTAATCCCAAAAGCAACACGCATGATTCCTCTTTCCCGCAGCTCCGGCACATCATGTTGCTCGCCGCCGTCGCAATGCATCCGTCTCCGGCGATGTTTGCGCCGTCCGATGCAACGCTCTCCGCCAATGCTAGCCCGCGCCGGTCGATTTCGTCGAAGTTGCTGCCGCAACACGACTCCACGGCGTCGCAAACCAAATCCGCCTCGCCGGCGCGGTTGTTCCGCCTCCGCTGCTTCTGTTGTTGCTCGTCGTGGAATTGGGAGAAGATTTGTTCGTCGTGAAATCGGGAGAGAATTTGCTCGTCGTGGAATTAGGGTTTTAAAATAATATATCGACAATTAAGGATAGATTTGGAATTATAAAAATAACATTTGGTGGAATACTAACTAAGGGGGTTTTCTTTAATTATTTTTGGGAGGAGGGTTTCATTAACTACATTTCCTAGATGAGGGGGGTCTTGCTAATAATCCCTATTTTATTATATATTTATATCATACCATTTATAAAATGTTCTAAATATATCAACTTTGTTGGAAACCCTAGATAAATTTATTTCTTAATTTAATTTTAATAGTAATTAATAATTTAGTTAAATTCAATTTAAAATCTTCCCTTTATAATGAGGTGATTGCAAATAAGGCTATCAATGGGTACTTATTCATAAAGAGATCCAGATAAAAAATTCATTTACAAATAAGTCCACACATGGTCCAGATTTTTGTAAGAGACTAAAATCTCCCCTCATATTTTAATATGCTCCAATTTCATCCTTAATTTAATTTAACCTCAATTTGACCCCAAATTTCACAAATTATTCAATTTTGACCCAAAACTTTTTTTTTCAATTTTTTTTTGTTTGTAGCTAGATTCCGGCGTTGACTTTTCAATTTTCTTTTTTTTTTTGGATTTTTTCGCCGATCTCTTCGGCGTTGACTTTTTCGATTTTTTTTTTCTTTCTGTAACATTTTTTTTTCGTTTGAACAGCAATATTGTTGTGATTGACAGTAATATTAACTATATTACTGTTAAACATAGTAAAATTAACTAAACTACAGTTTAACACTGTAATATTCCTATATTAATCTCTAGCACAGTAATATTAACACAACAAAACTTATTATTATTGTGTAATAGACTAATATTACTATGTTGACCGTTCAACAAATGTAAACATAATGAAAAGCCAAAAGAATTAATATTACTGTGAGTGACACTAATATTACTATAACAACAGTAATATTACCGTCAACCACAGTAATATTACAATAATAGACAGTAATATTATTACGTTACTCCGTGAATAATTCAAACAAAACAAAAAACCCAAAAAAATAATAATATTAATGTTGTTGACAGTAATATTATTGTGTTTACAGTTATTTTACTATCAAAGACAGTAATATAACTACGTTGACTTGTCAACAAATCAAACAAAAAAAAAAAAAAAAAATTAATAATATTACGTAAATTTACTGTCAACGGCAGAACAATTAGCATGAGTATCAATATGAGTATCAATATTTAGTCTCAGTATCAGTATTGGTATCAGTATCAGTATTGGTATTAGTATCCGTATGAGTATGAGTATAAGTTAAATATTAACATGAGTATCAATATGAGTATCCGTATGAGTATTACTATTAGGGCATCTTTGGTTGGGTGGTTTGGAATGATAGCTAGGGATGGGATATGGTATACTGGGACTAAATTGTTGATTCACATTGAGTAATCCATTATTTGGTTGGTGTTATGGTGAAGAAACTAATAATACATGCATTAACAGTATCATGTTTTGTTTGGATGATAACACTGTTTTATATGGATTTTTTAGGTAAATTACTGGTTTGTCCTTATAATTATTTTCTTAATTAATTGATTCTCTCTTCTTATTACCAGGACTTCTCCCTCTTATTTTTTTAATTAATCGATTCTCTCCTTATTGTCACGAACCAAGCATTGTTGGATCTTTCTCCATACTCGTTTTCAATTTCATGGTCCTTCTTCAAATGGGTCGACACGATTCCACAGTACAATCATTCGTTGCAATTTTATTGGTTGATGATATGCATCTTCACAAAACAGAGGCACCTCAAAACTGCTCAAAATCTGCTCGAAAAGATCGCCCGAAGAGATTTATTATCGTCTCCAACTGTATTGAACGCCCTCGCTAACAACGACGGTGACTCGGGTGTGAATTCGTATGTTCTGAGCTGGCTGGTGATATTTTACGTCAATTGAAGAAGAATCCAGATGCACTCCAAGTGTTTGATCATATGCGCCTGTGTGGATATAAGCCCCATTTGCACGCATGTACCATGCTTCTTCATTCATTGGTCAAAGAGAGGTTGACCGATACTGTGTGGAAAGTTTACAAGAAGATGACGAGAGTTGGGATTGTTCCGAATTGACATGTCTACAATGTCTTGATGCACGCTTGTTCCAAGTCGGAGGATGTAGAGAAGGCCGATTTGCAGTTTACCCCCAAACAATTGATATTAATATTAAGAGTAAAAAACAGTTTACCCCCTAAACTAATGGTCGATTTGCACTTTTCCCCCAAACAATTGTTTTTGGACGTTTTTACCTGAACTAGCTAATTTGTTGCACAATGCCCAAAAAGTGGAATTTTCGGGAAATATTCACTAGAATCTTAAGCATGCGCCGTTCACGTGAGTTTTATAGGGGTAAAATTTTCACTTTACTTCAAAAATAAAAAAGTAATAAACGGAAAGGAAAAAAAATGTATCTTTCTTCCTTGTGCGTCTTCTTTGCAAAATCCCCATGAAACCCACACGCACTGACACAGTTTCTTTTCTCTTTCTCTCTATAAATCAATTTTCTTTTTCAATTCAAATCAAACAAGAACAAATAAAAATATGTGAAAAAAGTTGGCAAGAATATATATCTACCACGCAGACCAACACATGTCGAGCAATTGCTCATCGTCATCACCAATTTTAGTTCAAACAAAATTATTCCACAGGAAAACAGGAAACATATTTTGCCCTGTTTAATCATTTTCCGTTAAAAGTTATTTTGATCAATTTGCTCGAAATGAACAAAAAAACTTTCAGAATGTAAATATTGGGGTCATCGCCCTGAATTTTTTTTGGCGCCCCTGTAAAAAATCATCGGCGGAATTTTGGGTAAAGCCCCGAAATCGAAATTATTAAGACTGCTCATCGTGACCTTGTGGGAAATAGAAAACTCTGGAATCAACCGGCGGTATTTGAATCATGCATCCGGCACCGGCGTCCCTTTTACCCACTTAAATTATTCTCTTAAATTTCTTCAAAATAGTGACCAAGCCCGGCCCATGGGTATTGCAGGTGAAACATTTGCTTTGGGCCCCCAACTAGGAAGGGGCCCCCAAAAAAAAAAAGTGCTATGGGTGATTTAAGAAATGTTCGGGAATGTTCGGGGAGCCATGTCACCCCATAGCTCTTTGTTGTCTTCATCACTTTCTGAAACCAATAGTCCGTTAGAACCCTCTCGGAATAACGTATCCAATTCATTATCCCATTAGAGTTTCAGACTACGTTTCAGGGGGCTAAGTGTAATTATCGATACCACAGGGACCTTACAGTTATTTAAGCTTACCTCAGGGGGGTGTGTGTAATTTACCCTTATATATATTGCAAAAATTAAATATTTGATACATTTACGAGATCGGCAGAAAAAAATAAAAAAAATTGCTTCTTTAGTTTTGTGGGCCCAAAGCTCTAAAAGTCAAACATCAATTAAAAAATAATAGTACTGTACTAGCAAACAACTTAAACAATTACAAAACCTATTTTTCTAACTTTTTCGGTGGCTGCGGAGGTTGCAGGGGAATTGCTTTTCCCATTCTTCAAATTCTGCATACAAGGTTTGTGTTCTTTAATTTGAGTATTTGACATATAATATACATATAATTTCTTGAACATAGACCCTTTTCTTGCATCAAATTTTAACAAAGCTAATAAATTATTATATTCAAGTATGAATTTTTTTCTTATTATAATATAGTACTGTTTTTTTTTGTAGACTAAATTCTTTGGAGTTTGTCCGGTCTGAATTGAAATTGCTAATTATGGGTCCTCGAAAATATATGTGTGGGAATGATAAAAAGAAGAAGAAACAAAAAGTTGAAGATTTTGTGCAATCTATGGCTGGTACAATTGAAAAGTTTATAACAAGGGGAAATAATACAGTAAGTTCGGGTTCAAAGTCAGTTGAGAATTCGATGAACACTGATTTTTCAGTTGAGGCAGAATTTGATTTAAATATTGAGGAACAACATGAAGATCAAGTGAATGAAGAACGTGATATCTTGGTGAATGAAGAACCTAGTCAAAAAAATGATGAAAATTCGAATGAGGATAAGCAAGAAGGTTGTGAAGCAGGGCCTTTGAATATTTACGATCCCGGAAATTGGGATAAGATTGATCACAATCTGAGAAATATTTTGGTAGAAAGAGGGCCAATAAGAATAACAGATGATGACGTCACTTTTCCTAAAGATAGGAGTGGTAGACATTTTTCTTGTACATTTTATGTCCGAGATCTGTTAAATGGGGAGAAACAAGATAGAAAATGGTTGATATATTCCCTCGTTGAAGACAAAATATTCTGTTTTTGCTGTAAATTGTTCAAGCAGGATAAAGTCATCTCTCGTCTAACTGCTGAAGGGTACAAGGATTGGAGAAATATTGGTAAAAGACTTAAAAGTCACGAAACCAGCAGAGAACACCTTACATGCATGAGTAAATGGATTGATTTGCAGATGAGACTGAAAAAGTACGAGACAATAAACAAGAGTTTGCAAGTGCAAATCAATAAAGAGAGAGAACATTGGCGACAAGTATTATTGAGGATAATTGCTCTGGTGAAAACGCTTGCTAATAATAATTTAGCATTTCGTGGAGATAATGAGAAAATTGATCAAGAGAACAATGGCAACTTTTTAAGCTTTATTCAGATGATTGCAGAATTTGATCCTGTTATGCAAGACCACCTCCGGCGTATTAAGGGTGGATCGATTTATCATCATTACCTCAGTCACAAGATTCAGAATGAATTGATTCAGATGTTAGCAGGTGAAACTAGAAGTGCAATTGTGAAAATCATCAAAGAAGTGAAATACTTCTCCGTAATACTTGATTGTGCAATTTTTGAAAGTGGATGACACAACAGGTTTGGGCCTTTTTAATGTACTTAATGATGCATTGAACAATCTTGAACTTGATATTGCCGACATAAGAGGTCAAGGTTATGATAATGGGGCTAACATGAAAGGAAAATACAAAGGTGTTCAGAGAAGACTACTTGAAGTGAACCCGAGAGCGTTTTATACACCATGTGGTTGTCATAGTTTAAATCTTACACTTTGTGATATGGCCGGTTGTTGTACCAAAGCTGAATCTTTTTTCGGAGTAGTGCAGCGTATTTATACTTTGTTTGCATCTTCTACAAAGCGGTGGGATATTTTAAAACGTCATGTTCAAGAACTTACACTTAAGCCATTGTCTCAAACTCGATGGGAAAGCCGTGTTGAAAGTCTTAGAGCTATTAGATACCAAGCACCAAAAATAAGAGATGCATTACTTGACTTGGCAAATAGTAGAGAAGACGCCAAAACAAAGAGTGAAGCTAATTCTTTGGTCACTCATGAACTTGAGAATTTTGAGTTCTTGTTTGGCATGATTATCTGGCATAATGTGTTGTTTACTGTAAACGTTGTTAGCAACATTCTTCAAGCTGAAGATATGGATATTGATGTTGATATCAAACAACTTAAGGGATTAATTTCCTTTTTTGAGAAGTACAGAGAAAGTGGATTTTCGGAGGCAAAGGCTGAAGCTAATGAAATTGCAAACGAGATGGGAATTGATCCTGTATTTTCTGAAAAACGCATCATTCATAGAAGAAAACATTTTGACGAGAGTTCTAGTGAAGATGTGTTACAATCAACCGAAGAATGCTTTATAGTGAAGTACTTTCTCTATGTGGTAGATCAAGCGCTTCTGTCGCTCAATACCAGATTTGAACAACTTCAAAAATATGATGAAAAATTCGGTTTTTTGTTCGACTTCAAGAGACTAAAATCGATTGATGATGAGGCTTTAAATACTTACTGTGTTAACCTTGAAGAGTATTTGAAACACGACACTTGTGATATTGATGGGATGGATTTATGTATGGAGTTAAAAATCTTTAGATATATTTTAGCAGAAGAACTGAAAAGGCCGATTGAAGTGTTGAATTATTTGCAGGTTATAGGCGGTGGTTTTCCGAATACATGGATTGCTTGCCGGATTTTGTTGACGATTCCTGTTACTGTTGCATCAGCTGAAAGGACATTTTCAAAGTTAAAGTTGATTAAGTCTTACCTCCGATCAACCATGTCGCAAGAAAGATTAAACGGACTAGCGATGTTGTCGATTGAGAAGGATATGGTACGAAAGATTGATTATTCGAGTGTTATTAGTGATTTTGCTTCAAAAAATGCTAGAAGGGTAATATTTAAGTGATTTGTTGTATTGAATGTTTATCCTCCTTTATTGATTTAATTATCTATGCACGAAATAGTTTTATTTGTTCATCAAAATTACTCAATCTATTGTGTTTTTGCTTCACCGTGTTTCACTGCTTAATTTTATATGTATATAGTAGTTTCGTTTTTGATAGTTTAATAAACACCTCTAATGTAAAAATATATTAATTATGAAAAAGTTCAATAATATTATCGAAGAAATGGACATTTTTTTCAAAACTTGCTTAGGGCCCCCAAATTCGTTGGACCGGCCCTGATAATGACAATAACAAAAATACTGTAAGTATCCAACTTAATACTCAATTTGGCAGTTAGATTAATAAAATTCCATCGAAAAGAGATATCCAAAGCATTAGCCAAAAAATTTGGAGTGCAATATGGTGGGTTTGGACGGCCGAAATTGGATTATGAAGAAGTAAATGAATAATATATGTAAAAGGACATATTTGCCCCTGTCAAAGTCACGTGATTCGCCCGTTCCTTGGGTTCCGGTCAAAATGGCCTGAAAATCCCATTTTTTAGGCACAGTGCAACAAAAATTGGTGTTCAGGTAAAAACGTGCAAAGTTTTTTTGTTTGGGGGGCAAAGTGCAAATCGACGGGTAAATTGCTTTTTACTCTAATATTAATATTACTATGAGTATCAATACAAGTATTAATATCAATATCAATATCAGTATCAGTATCAGTATAAGTATCAATATCCATATCAGTATGAGTATCAGTATTAGTATGAGTAACAGTATCAGTATCAATATTATTATTATTATTAGTATTAGTATTAGTATCAGTATTAGTAATCAGTATCAATATCACTAGTAGTATTAGTATTAGTATTAGTATTAGTATTAGTATTAGTATTAGTATTAGTATTAATATTAGTATTAGTATTAGTATTAGTATTAGTATCAATATTCGTATCAGTATCAATACCAGTATTAATATCAATATCAATATCAGTATCAGTATAAGTATCAATATCCATATCAGTATGAGTATCAGTATTAGTACGAGTAACAGTATCAGTATCAATATAATATTATTAGTATTAGTATAAGTAATCAGTATCAATATCAATATCAGTATTAGTATTAGTATTGGTATAAGAATTAGTATTAGTATTAGTATTAGTATTAGTATTAGTATTAGTATTAGTATTGGTATTAGTATTATTAGTATTAGTATTAGTATTAGTATTAGTATTAGTATTAGTATTAGTATTAGTATTAGTATTAGTATTAGTATTAGTATTAGTATTAGTATTAGTATTAGTATTAGTATTAGTATTAGTATTAGTATTAGTATTAGTATTAGTATTAGTATTAGTATTAGTATTAGTATTAGTATTAGTATTAGTATTAGTATTAGTATTAGTATTAGTATTAGTATTAGTATTAGTATTAGTATTAGTATTAGTATTAGTATGACTATCAGTATCAGTATGAGTATGAGTATCAATATCGGTATGAGTATCAGTATAAGTATTAATATTAGTATTAAAATTAATATTACTATGAGTATCAGTATTTGTATCAGTATCAATATTAGTCTTAATATCAATATGAGTATCAGTGTTAGTATTAGTATTAGTATTAGTATGAGTATTAGTATAAGTATGAGTATGAGTATTAGTATTAGTATTAGTATTAGTATTAGTATTAGTATTAGTATTAGTATTAGTATTAGTATTAGTATTAGTATTAGTATTAGTATTAGTATTAGTATTAGTATTAGTATTAGTATTAGTATTAGTATTAGTATTAGTATTAGTATTAGTATTAGTATTAGTATTAGTATTAGTATTAGTATTAGTATTAGTATTAGTATTAGTATTAGTATTAGTATTAGTATTAATATTAGCATTAGCATTAGTATTAGCATTAGTATTAGCATTAGTATTAGTATTAGTATTACTCTTAGTATTAGTATCAGTATCAGTATCAGTATCAGTATTAGTATCAGTATTAGTATCAGTATCAGTATCAACATCAGCATCAGCATCAGTAGTAGTAGTAGTAGTAGTAGTATCAGTATTAGTATCGATATTAGTATCAGTATTAGTATCATTATTAGTATCAGTATTGGTATTAGTATTAGTATCAGCATTAGTATCGATATTGGTATCAGCATTGGTATCAATATTGGTTGGGACGTATATATCTCAGCATTGGTATCAATATTGATTGGGGCGTATATATCTTATCTCTTTTGCAATATTTATAAGTTGTATTGTTGTTTGAGTAATGTGCATCGCTAATTGAACGTCGTTAGGGATAAAGTTGCAGGTTATTTGAATATCTATTTTGTTACTTCTCTACTACCGTGTTTTTTGTAAGTTAGTTATTTTGGAGAAGATTCACATGGCGTAGTAGATTGTGCTCCATGAAATAGAGTTATACCATATGTTTTAAATAATTTCACTTAATCTTCATATCGTGTTATGCGTGCTTCACTTTTTCTTCTTCGTAATATTTAATTATTTCATATGTTAAAACTCTGAATTAAGAGATAAAGTTTATGTTCTTTTTATTTCCTTCCATTTTGTTTTACTTGAACTAGTGTTGTTATAAAGAGATAGTCGTTTACATATTATTATTTTTCTCATTTAAAACCGACCTCCGTGCAACGCACGGGTGAAGTACTAGTATCTAGTAATTCTGAAATTAAAAAAATATTTGTAAATTTTGGGAGGGTTTTGAAAAGAAAAATTGGAAGATTTTGAGAATAAGTTCTGAAAATGTTTATGGATTTAAAAACATAATAAACATTTAACATAAAAATACAAAATATAAAGGCTTGTTCGGAAGGAAGTTGATGAAAAAGAAAGATGTAACTTTACTCGTCTGAACAATTTTCATTTGATGGTTTTTGATGTGTTTCACTGTCGTCGCCTGGAGCAGATAGATGTAGAGAAGAATTATCATGTTATGGCATAGGGTAGATATTTAAATATTTATTTATGGATAAAGAGTCCAATATTCATTCAGATATTTCTCTGGCCGAATAAGTGGCAGATTGTCGGCCAATATGGATAAAAGAGTCCAATATTCATTCAGATATTTCTCTGGTCGAATAAGTGGCAGATTTTCGGCTGAAAGAGATGAGGACAGATTCAGAGGTGGTTACCAAAAATGCTCAATTTGCTGACCGAAAACCCATAAACCACCTTTTTGATATCCCACAATTAAAAATTTCCACTTTAATGGGAGTATCAAAATGGGTAAGTATTTGGATATTCTACCTCTTTGTATGTAAAATTATATCATGGGAATTGAGTTATCAAAAAAAATAACCACCTAAACATCCAATCACAAAATGACACATGACAATTACAAATAAAACTACTAAAAAACTTCCAAATGATTATTAATTGTGATAACCATGGTTGGAGTAGATAAACTAAAAATGAATATTAAATATTATCTTAATTATCAAATGAGTATTTGATAATCCAATTTTGATAATTAGCATTGGAGTTGATCTAAGAGCAACTTCAATGGGGTAATCCAACATGTTATTCAAACATTTAACCACCATTTACATTTTAAACACAAAAAATTAGAAATTTTCAACTCCAATGGGATTATAAAATTAACTATTTTGATAATTCAATTCTTGGGATGTAAATATACTTGCTTGAAATTGAGTTATCAAAAATGTAACTATATAAACATCCAATCACAAGTTGATATGTGGCATTACAAATAAAATCAGCCATAAACTTCCAATTGATAATTAATTTGATAACTATGGTTGGAGTAGATTAATTTTAATTAATATTAAAATATTACCTCAAATATCAAATAAATATTTGATAATTTAATTTTGATATTTAACATTGGAGTTGCTCTAAGAGGTCCATTAAGTGGAATCAAACGGACCCTTAATAAGAATGATCTGAAAATTTTATGACATGAAAAAATATTTTTATCTAACGTGTAAAAATTAAATACATGGAAATGAGGGGGTTTTTTTCTCTTCTTTTTTTGTTGTTGTTTATAATAGTATACACATCAAATATTACACATAACTAGCATTTTGAAATTAAAAAAATCATTTGTCAATTTTTGGAGGGTTTGGAAAAGAAAAATTGGAGATTTTGAGAATAAGTTCTGAAAATGTTAAAAGAGTGGTGTGTAAATAAATGTTAAATACTCGAAAAAGTGGGGTTTAACCATATACTTTGACTTTCAATGCATATGAAGTTCCTACCATCCAAGCTACAATGCAGTATTAAAACTTAGGGTAAATTATAACCACCTACATGAGGTATGGTTAAATTATGAAAACTCCCTTATTGTTTGGATAATTACGATCACCCCTCAACTATAAATTTTCTTACACGTCTACTTTTGCTGTTTCAAATTTAGTGGCATCTTTGAGATTATATGGAATATTATCACTTTTGTACCCGTTTTATCCCATTCGAACTCCACATTTTGAAGCAAGATGATCATATTATGTGTTTTTTGGCTTTTATATATCAGATTGTGGTGCATCGGAAATTTTATTTTTCACAAAACGAGTACAAACTAGAGCACATTGCCCGAAATCTGGATGATCATGTTGAATTTGACACCATAAGGGTGGAGGTGTAAGAAAAAATCATAATTGAGGGGTAGATGTAATTATCCAAACAAAAGGGGTGTTTTCGTAAATTGACTATACCTCGGGTAGGTGATTGTAATGTACCCTAAAACTCACTACATTTAATTAACCAGAACGTTGTGGCGGTCTGGAGTTTAGCATTCCAAAGGTTCATCCAAGATAAAAATAGGTGATTGAATGAATATTGAACAATATAGTTGTTAAATGTTAATTCTTCTTCTTTTTTTCCTTTCCACATTTCACCATTTTATTTAATGTATGTTTTCCTAATTGTTGTAAGAAAATAATAACAACCAAAATAATGTTAATTAAATATAAGTTATAATTATATCAAAATTAAAAATATCCAATATTTGTTAAACAATAAAAA